CCCCCTAAAGCAAAGCCACTGACCTCATGGGGTCCTGGCTTCACAAAGATTCCTCTAAATTCCTGGGCCTGGTGCACTGGTAGTTTGGCCACGTTGATGGCGTCTTCAGCACTGTTGCAGCTGCTCAGCTCTGTCAAACAGAACGTGACCGCGATTGTTCTCTCCCCTGAGTCTGTTGTTGCCCATGGCCCGCCATCTGGCCTGCTATGGGGAAGACTCTGGATTGGCAGATTAGACACCCCTCTGGGGGCAGCAAACCATGGGAATATATTACCACTGTTGATGGAATAGTTGTGTCACTGATGCAGATGTACTTGGTAAGGATTCTCTCATGAGACGACTGGCATCAAACTGCTGATCAGGCCTCCACTGCCCAGATCAGAGCCATCACCAGCCGGATCCATTTGCAGGTTTCCGGCTGCCTGGAGCTCAGGCAGGGAAATACAGGCTTACCTCTGAGGTATCTTAGGCTCCCTTCCAGACGACTGCAATAAGGCAAGCCACAGGAAATTTGGGGTTTCCCAGTGCATATAAAAGTTATGTTTACACTGTACCATAGTATATTACGTGTGCAGTAGCATTATGTTTTAAAAAAGCTATGCACTTACCTTAATTAAAAAATACTTTATTGGTTTAAGAAAAATGCTAACCATCATCTGATCCACAGAGTTGCCACAAACCTTCAATTTGTAAAAACGGAAACCAAACAATCAAACAAAACCCCGCCGCAATATCTGCGAAGGGCAATCAAAGGAGGTATGCCCATGCTGGAGAATAAGAGAAGTGAATCACTGCTGGTGCTGGGGTGGCTTTGAATTCTGCTCTCTTCCCCAGTACGCCTGCTGTGTACTTCTCAGAGCCTTCAGATAGCTGCTCCATGCCTGCTTTTGGCGGGGTGGGGGTGGGGTTGCATTCGGTGGGACAGACAGGACGGAGGTGCTGACTCCAGCTCACTGAGAACTGGAACTGAGGGAAGGCTTTGAACAGGTGGCAGTGGGAGAAGGGGCGTTCCCGGGGAAGCCCCAGCACCAAGGCAAAGGCACAGAGCTGGGAACACAGGACAGGCTCTGAGGACAAGACCATCTGGCGGGGTCCTGAGCCCTGAAGGAGAGCAGAGAGAGAGAAATCTGGCTGGAGGGCTTGGCTGGAGTGCACGGGACCCAGCCGGGTAGCCATGACGGGGTGCCACTGAGGGGGCATCAGTTGAGATGGAAGCTGTGCTTCCAGCCCCATACATGCTGTTCCTTCCATCTGGAACACTCTTTCTTCTGCACTTCACTGGCCAACTCTTTCCTGCCCTTCAGATCTGAACTGAAATCTCACTTCCTCAGGAAGCCTACCTGACCAGTTCCCACAGAATTCTGTACTTTTTCCTCCTGGTCCTTATCATGTGGAAAGTTGCTGATTAATCTTTTGCAGTTGTTTAATTCACACTTGTTTCCCCTGTTGGACTGTGAGAAAACAAGGGCAGCAGCTGCATAGATCTCATTCATTGCTAAGGTTGGTCAGTCAGTCAGTCAGCAAACGTGGAGGGAGAACCTGCTCTGTGCCCACCATTGTACTGGGCTCCAGCATTCCCAAGGACAAGGTGTGGACCCGCGGTTGTTTGCCCACTGCCTGCACAAATGCTGAGCCCAGTGTCAACCAGATGCCAGCCCAAAAGTGGGTCTGGCTGAATGTGTGTGTAGCAGAGGGAGGAGGGGCTGGTGGCAGAGAGGCCAGGCCAGTGGCTGCTAGAATAGCCCAAAGGAGGTCCCAACCTACTAGGTAGTCAGGGCCTGAGGGGCAGGGCCGGACTCAAAAGTGGATACAGACACTTCCTGGACCGTTTTGAGACCCTAAGATCAGGGAGTCTGAACTGGGGACCTTCTGACGTTTGCCAGCCTCCTGCAGGCTCTGTGGGCCAGGCTGCCCCATGCTCTTCCAGCAGCCCCTCTCTGGGGAACCGTCAGGGCTGAGCATCTCCTGTGCCCACCAGAGCCAAGGACCCCTGTCATCACTTCCAGTGCTCCACAGATGAGGCAAGACCCTGGAGAGCCTTGAGACTCGCTCTGTGGCCACCTTCTCAGGGAAGCGAGGGAGCCAGGACAGCCCCCAACCCTCGACCCCAGCCTGTCTGCTTTGAAGCCCCCTGACCTCTAGGGGGCCCCTGTGCTCCTCACAGACCACCCTGGGGGCGGGGAGATCTGGGTGGGAGGCCCCCTCAGCCAGTTCCTTCATCATCCTCCATCTTCCACACCTCAGAGTTCCTCGACCTGTAGCCTTGCAACGGGGGAGACCATCCAGCTGCGCCCCATACAGCCTCCTCCCGCTGCCTCCCCTGCGCGGCGCCCGCCTGTAGGGCGACCGCCTGGGGCTCCCATTACAGGCTCCTCATGGGGAGTTGAGCCCGTGGGGAGGACCCCCACCAAATACCCTGTGCCAGCCGGCCCCAGATCTAACTTCAAGGGCCCTGGATGTGGCCCCTGATCCCCCGAGACACGGTGGGCAGGTAGGGAGAAGGGCTCTCCCTCTCTCTCAGGATCAGGGACTCTCAACCTCCCTGGAGCCTCGGGTCCTTATTGAAAAGAGGGGTTTAGCCTAGACAAACCCGCCCTACTGCATCCATAGGTATTTCCGCCAGAGGGCGCTCTGCTCACAGACTCTGGCACCTTCATCTTAACATCTCTGGCTGGAGTCACCTCTGGTGAGGAAGACCGCGAAACGAGAGACTTGCCTAAGTGTGTCTAACCCATAGCTTTCCAGACCTATGTAACTGGAGCATCCATTTTCTACAGGACACCATTTAAGATTCCTTGGCATCCAGACTGGGAAACTCCTCGGTGACCCTTTTTCCATTTTAGCTTTGTAAGGTTGTTGGGTCCTTCCCTCCGAATCTCTGTGCACTTGCTCTGCCTCTTCCAGCCCTAAGTGCGCGCTCCCAGGGGTCTGTGCACGGGCTGCACTGAGCCTGAACCATTGTGGCCTCCCCAGGAGCCTAGAACAGCTGCTCATTTTTAAGTTAAGGCTAAACCTCCTTCCCCAGGATAAATGGGGGTTGAGGAGTCCAATTTCCATAAGAGCAGGGCATAGTGTATGCCATCGGGATTGGGTAAACGCATTTCTCCAGGAAATACTGTGTGCCAGGCACTGGCTGTGTGATCACTTTGGGGCACATTTTCTGCTCTAAGGTCTTACTGCTTTGGTAAGTGCATTTTTGAGCCAGGAAGGACACTGGCTTGCCCTGCTCTGGCTCACCATTTCTGTAGATCAACCACACCTGGGGCCTTAGCGCCAGCACCTCCCACCTCAGGCGGCCCAGGGCAGGGAGCTGGGCCAGGCTGAGGAAGGTCAAACAGTGACCCACAGGGGCTGGAGCTTGGGGGCAGAGGTGATCGGTGACTGCCATCCTGGGGTCTGCCCCCAGCCCTCCGATGCCCTACGCCCCAGTCAGTCTCTCTCACTGAAGTCCTGCTAAACTGACATCTTTCACAAAAGCTGATTCCTCCACAAGTTCTGACTCCTTGCTTCTCACTGCTAAAAATAGGTGGAGAGTCCTGAAAACCCCACATCATGAGGTTTTAGAGGTGATTCTAGTCATTTTGGTAGATATTTACTCTAAAGACCTGCAATGTCTCTTGGTAATTAAAGCCGGGTGTTTCCTGGCAAATTCATTCCTTTTAGAAGCAAATTATTTCACAGACTACAATAAAACAAATGACTTATTTCCAGTGGGTCCAGAAGCGTTGAGAAGTGTTACTACAAAGCTGTGATGCTCCCCACCATGGGAATCCAAAGTCCTGGTTAAGCTGACAAGCAACCTGCAACCGGAGGAGGGAGGCGGGCTGCCCAAGCCTCTCCCACGCATCAGGAAGGGTGATGGGGCTGGGATTCCCGGGTTAACTAAGAGCCTTGGGCCTCGCTGAGGATGTGGCCCCTGTGGGCCAGGCTGTGGAGTAACCAAATTCTGTTGGGTCTTTTCATCTGAGGTTTCCCGAATTGTCAGGGAAAATGTGTGCTTTAATAGAAGCTGTGAATTGTTTAGATCACATCCTTTGGGATTATCTGATTCTGGCCTTTCATTGCCAAGTGCTGTTTTATAACACTGTAGATGACTGATACCAATGCAAAGTGATTCTTGTCTGAAGACATACAAGTGAATTTTCTCTGCTGGAGGAACCCCCCCCCC